AACCCCAAAACCCCAAAACCCCATCAATGAGTGATTTGAATACATTGATATTTCAAAAGCTTTTAATCAATTTTGGAAATTTCTTTAATAGTGTATCTTTGAAAGGGTCTCTCCAGTTATTTAAATCTAAAATAAAGTCTATTATCTAGGACTAAGATTCAACTTTCTAAAAATCAATGTATCCACCAATTAGATTTCCTTCAAATTTGTTGAAATTCATCATATCGCAATCAGGGACCTCAATTTCAATTTCCTCTTCGCTATCAGCAATCATATCGTTTATGAGAGGATTATTATTAGGAGCCTTAGTTTAAGCAATAGACCTTCTCTTTGCTTTAGTTTATCATCTGAGTTCAAATAAGTCTTAGTCAATTTAAGGATTAAATCTTAGTTAATATATATCTTTCCAGCCTGTGTCCTGAGCATTTCAAGGTTTGAGCCCATTAATTAGGAACTTACTATGAAACAAGCGTTCTTTAAATTGGATCCTAAGTGGGCTACTAATTATTATGTAATAGTGAGGCTTACTCTTAAATAATTAGAGAGCAAATAAAGAAATCCTTTCGAATTCACATATTCATCTATGTAATTCAAATCGAATTTATCTTATTCTATAGCTTTTATCTTTTCATCGACTTCTCCTTGTTCTTTTTAAGGTAAATTAATTTCAATTTAATCAATATTCTCAATTTGATTTTCATTTTAAGTTTCATCAGATTAATCATCTTTTTCTGCATCTTCTAAGTTCTTATCTTCAGTTTCATCTAAATATTCTGTGTCCTCAGGAATTTCTAGTGCTTAATTTTAATAACCATACATCTGGTACATAAATTAGTAGGGATCTTAAGCAGATTAAAATTCATTATCATTTTGATGAGAATTGGAAGCTTATTTTTTGCTCTTTTACTTCTTTGAATTATTCAAAACTTCTTAGAATGATGCGATAATGAATTCTTAAGATATAGAATCATATTGAGGCATCAAGGCTTATTATGAATCATCATCAAGGTCTAGCAACTTCTCAAGAAAGTCAATTAAATCAGAAGGATCCTAATTCAAAGTTTTGAAAGTTTAGAAAGGACTCAGATAACTGAATATCTCTATAATGATCTGCTTTGCAATGGCATGCTTGTGTTTGAATATTCCCTCTCTCTTTCTATTAACTGTAGTTTCCTTGAGATTTTCGTAGAGATTATGCAGCTTCAATAACTTTCTCACGCTTAGAGTAAACTAAATAGTTAAACTTTTCTAAGCCATTATTGTGTCGAATACAGACTTGAAAAGGAGTTTAATTAGATTATTGCTGTAATAGAACTAGAGTTCAGTTCCCTATTGTATTTACTTCTGTAGTACATACTTTTGGTAAAAATTTTGATTCTGACTCAAAATATGTCTCATTGACTTGAGACTTGTATCTTACTTATTATTGATTCCTTCAGTCTTAGTTATTTTTAGTTCATTAGCTATATTTTAGAGTATCTAAATAGCAATTTAATCATGATATTTTTTGTTTCTTTGCTTTTCAATGATAATTTAATCATCATTTTCAGGGTTTTCAACTGTACCCTCATCAAAGATATCTATTTTATTGGGATCTGCTTAATTTTGGCTAATTAAATTTTATTGCTGTTGTTACTGCATAAAGATCTAATTATCAATTAAATGCTATTGTAAGTCATCGTATTCATCGTCATCTTAATCATCGCTATCAACTGCCTTCTCTTATAATTCTTCTAGCAAAGATCTATCTACCTTTTCAGTAATAGCATTGAAGTTATCAGCCAGTAAATCGTCAAGGAGATTCTAATCCTCTGGTGAGGAACTATATTATTGGATCATCATTTTATTAGAATTAAATTGAAATTATGAATATAAATCAAATTTCATTTATAAAAATTAATACTTATTTAAAATTCAAGGTAATCTAACCATTATATCTCTTATCTCAACATAATTTTTTTCTCTTTAAAGATCAATTAGTCTGTATGTCTATCCTGCTTATTCTTTAGAAATTCTCATGTTTATCAAACTACCATTCTTGTTATTAGAATTTGAATGATTATACTTAGAATAAAAGGCTACTTCCATCTGTTAGCTTCTCAGATTAATCACTAATATCTTCTCATCATCTTTAACAAATGCAAAAGGTTTCTATTTAAAGTCATAGTCTTAAACACCAAATATATGAGGCTTATGATTAAATTAAATACTAAATTTAAGACATCTCTTTTTAATATCAAATATCTTAAATTAAGAATCAAAATCGTCTATAAAAGCAAATGTTTTAGAATTAACAAGCATAATAGATCTTACCCATCCATTTTATATCAATTTCTTTTTATCTTAAATAAGTTGGTAATCATATTCACCCTTCTTAATTAGTTTAAAAATAGCTAAGCCATTACCTCCAAAAGCAAAAGTATATTCATTTTATTATTTTTTAATGAAACATATTTCAATTATCTTTTGAAATTCATAAATTCAGAAAACTTGAGAATATTTTTTATTTGAAGTACTCAATAATTATATCTAACCATAG